CCGTCGCTACCATCCGTTCCGCCTGTCCATTGGAACTGGGATGATACGGTGGCGTTAACACATGATATACACCCGTTTTCTCACAGAATCTCTTGAATTCTTCATCGATAAAAGCTGGCCCACCATCCGATACCACAGTTTTCGGAATACCAAACTTCAACCATACTTTTTTAAAATGTTTAATCACAATATTCGCCGTTAACCCATGAATTTCTTCAAATTCTATCCATTTGGATAACGCATCTACACTTAATATATACTTTTTCCCTTCATATTCGAAAAAATCAACATGAACCCTCTCTCCTGGTTCTACAACTTTTGGCCATGAACTACTTTTATCCTTACGGGGCATGTCAGACCATGCATTGCAAATCTCCCATTCTTTACCCAATTTATCAATATCCTCGTTCATTTTCGGCCACCATACGTACTCTCTTCCCCATTGTTTCATACGAGTAACTCCTTGATGACCCGCATGTATAACATTCAAAATTTTCTCCATTTAATAACATATCGGATGATATATATTCTAAACATTTATTCATTTAGGGATTATGATAGTTTAATTAAAAAATTTAGGTATTTAGTAACATTTGCAAATAAAAATAACTATATTATAAAATTTAATTCAACCAATCAGGGAAAAGACGAATCTTTTACGATTGGTGGCTAATATTGTACAAGCTTAGCCAATATTGCGGTTTCATTAACTGTCGTTGTCTTCAATAATCTCATTTTCTACTTTAATACTATCAGATTTTCTTCCTAACTACAACATTTCGTCTAAGCTAAGATTTTCATTCTTATTAAGTTTATATTTTATGTTATCGTTTCTACCCGGGTACGGGCTGGGGGCCTACTTTTCCATATCTCTAATTGTGAGTAAAAAAAGAAAAAATAAATTAAATATATGTTAAAACATGTATGATTATATACTGGTTATAAACGAAACTAATATAAATAAGTTTATCAACGACCTCATGACGTGCTTTATAACAACTTTACGATCTATCTTGATTTCCCACATGACATAATTGATCCTTCTAATGACAATTCCGTCATGCCAATCTTGATTTGTATCCACTTCCACAAAAACATAGTTTCCTATAATTAATTCTCTACAATTAATTCTTTTACAATCAGGCTCCACATCACAGTCATTATTATCTATATAACTTCATTTCCATCTCAATTTCCTACCCAAACCCAACAATCTAGTTGCAGGTGGATAATTAGTTACCGAATGAGTAGAATTACGATAATTTAGTAAAACATCTGCTAACATGAGCTCATCTCAACCCCCTAATCTATAAATCATATTCTTTGCTATACGAGCAGCCCTCTCCGCTATCCCATTCGAGGATGGGTTATAAGTAGGAGTAAAAATATGTATAATACCATTTGCAAAAATTTTAAAAACATAAGACCTAAAAGCTGATTCATTATCTGATACCAATTCTACTGGATAACCGAATCTAGAAAAAACTTTATTTACTTCAATTATAATGGTAATGGTGAAAATGCTTTTCACCTAGATAATCTCCAGCCAACGAAAGTGCTCATCAATTTTTAATATGTCCGAAAAAACAGATAAATTTGAAAAATATCTCTTCTTCGTATCTATTATCCTGAATACACCAACGTGCCCTTCATGTAATACATTAAGTATAAATTTCCTTAGTTCTTGCGGAATAATAATTTGACTAACTTTAAATGCAAAATCATTTTATATGTTTAAAACATTTAAATGTGCTTTATACTCCTTAACTTCTAAATATTTACCACCTCTTTAATTTTTATGAGCTATATGTCTACCAATGTAGCTCTTTTAATTATATCCAAATCACTGATGATATCTTGATCATTATTAATATTATCCATATTAAAAAAACTAAATGACATCTTTGTTAATTAATCTAAATAAACCATAAGGAATTATTTGACCTTTCCCCTTTCTATAATTTATATTAAAATCATATCTGAATAAACATATGATCCATTTTTGTAACCTTGGTTACATATCATATAGTTTAACCGGATATGCCCCAAGTAAATTAACAAGCCATTTATGATTTGTGCATAAATCTCAAACATCCTACCAACTAAATATTCTCTCCATTTTTAACTGCCAAAACTATTGCGAACCCTTCTTTCTCAATAATCTAATATTTCTTTCCAGCACTTGGCCATACTTTGGACATGAATACAATAGGTCTAGTATGATCAATTTCTTCAAAATGGAAAATAACTGCTCCTTTACACTTATTTAAATACCCAGTCGAAATAAACAACTTCCTACCTCTATCAAAATATGCTAGAATAAGTGCATTATACAATCTTCTAATCTCACAAAAGTCTACTCCTTCGTTAATCCCTTAATAAAAATGATTCGAAAAACCTGGAATAATAATTCATTAGTCACAACTAGGATTGTAACTCATCCATATCTTTAGATTCAGTTATTATGCTAGTCGGTTCAATTTTTTCTTTAATTGGTTATTTGCTTTTACTACTTAATAAGTAACCCAAGTATTTAATGTTATCTTTACCAAATTTACTCTTTTTGAGATTTCTTATTGAGCCAAATTCTAACAATCTTTCAAAACCCTTTTTCAATTTGCTAAAGTGATGCTCAGAAAATCATCTAAATAATAAATGACCTCATTTATATCAAAAAATATTTTCTACATAGTTTCTTGGAAATAGAAAGGTCAGTCCAATAGGTTACCTATTAAATTAAACCGGACCTTTGTTAATAGACGCCGTAAAAAATTTTCAAGCTTCTTTAGAGACAGGCATTTGTAAATAAGCTGTGGAAAAATTATTTTCGAAAATAACTCACCATTTCCGAACCAATAATGCCACTTATCCTTGGTAGAGGATATTCAAACCTTTCTAATTGAGGATTTAATCTAAAATCGGCACAAACTCGCAAAGTATTATCTTTTTCTTTTTTTTTTAACTAAAACTAACATGTTGTCCTGCTTGTGTCATTGCTCAAGAAAGTTTACTAATTCTTTTTCCAATTCATCTCTGGCCTTAAAAAATTTATGCTTATAAACTTTTCCCATTTCATCATTATTATTAATGTTAATTCTAGATTCAGAAAAAAATTCTTTAAAATAAAATAAATTGAAGGAATCAAAATATTACTTTTACTGTGGCTTAAAAAATCAGTATATTTATTATCCTTATATGTAAAAGGATTGTTAAAAGTTAAAAAAGTTATTTTATCCCCTGTTTATTAATGTCTGTATCAAAATTATATATAAAATTTTCCATTATTATAACTTATAGCCGCAAACAATGTCCACAAAGATATATGTATATAATGTAGTGTTGTAAACGAACGCGTTCAAAATGATGAACGGCGTTCATTTTATTTTTGACGAACTTTGAACTTGAACGCGTTCCTTTTTTATGACGAACGCGTTCGAATTTAACTTTCGTTCAATTTTAAAAAAATTTTTATTTTTATTTATTTGAAAAATTTAATATTTCCGAATTTTTATAAAAAATTTAATATTTCCGAATTTTTATAAAAAATTTATATTTATATTTTTTAATCGGCTGTGTATTTCCTTTTCACATTTCAATTTTTTTAACACATAGTTTATTAATTTGAATAATATTGGTTATATTTTAATTTAATAGATTAGCATAGCATGGATATTATTATTTAATCCTCATCATCTGATTCTGAAAATCCAAAATCAGATAAATTATCATTACTATGGCCAAATATGATAAATGTTTTACATTAACATCCTATATTGAAGGAACTAATCCAATGCTTACCAAGTATATAATGTGGCCAAAAGTATTATATTGTCAAAATCTTCAGGTTCCAATTTAAAACGACATTTGATTTTAATATTAATTATTTGATTTTATATGATATAACTAAGTTAAATCATTAAATTTGAAGAAATAATGCCTTTAGGATATTTGACCCCAACAATAACTATAGTTATTTTAAAATTAAAAAAATTAGTGGCCTCAAATATGGTCAAACATTGATAGACGACTTATTAAATAGGATTAATAAAAGGTATTAAACCTATCACTCTCAATTTATTTCATATATTTTATTTTTTTGAAGATTTGAACATATATATAAGGATCAATATATTCTTTCTGCAATTATACATTCAGCATTCAAACTTCAATGACCATAGATAAAACTTCCACAGAACGAACCTATTAAAAATAAACTTATAGCGTTATTGAAAAAAATGCTTTGAAAACCCTAGAGAACTGTTAATTTCGAGATATCCTTTTTTTTGGCAAGAGTAGAGAATGGATTGTAGGGGGATAACTTATCTCAGTTTTTTGCAAATAACAAAATAATATGTTTTTAATTAAATTCTCCACGTTAAAAGAGCTGTTTATTAAGTATAATACCGCAATCCCCTCATCTGCCCCTGTAGAGCGCGTTTTTAAGATAATGCCGTATTAATTCCCTAGTGTTCTTTAAATATTTTGATAACAGTTGTTATTAAAATTTAATAAAAATTTTTTTATAAATAAAAGTATCTTTTTTATTCGCTATATTATATTTTATTTATAATTATATTATCAAAATAAAACTATATTATTTTTTAACATGGCTAAAATATATTGTATTAAAAAATATAACTTTATTTATATTAAATTAAATTTAAAAAAAATTTAACATAAAATTTTGAACGGTTTTTTGAACGTGAACGCGTTCCTTTTTTTTGAACATGAACTTGAACGTGAACGCGTTCGATTTTTTTAGAAATGTTAAGAGCACTAATAAAATGTTATAAATAAGAATCCTTAATATAAAGGAGTATAAAATTTTTAATTCATGATAATTATCTTTCAGATATAAACTAAGCCTAGTGCTTGGTTCTCTTATAACCCTTTGATAATATCATTATCAAGATAAATAACTATATACACATTATATTATTATAAATATGTTATTATTTTATAAATATTTTTTTCTTATATTAACTTTAGAAAATATATAAATATTAGAATATATATTAAATGCTATAAAAATAAATAAATAAAAATTTAAAAAAAAGCCATATACTAAAGCTACCACATATCTTCAAATCATGCCTGAAAAACGAGAAAAACAACCAGCTCCATCCGTTCAAGTCTACGGAAGAAAGGTTATATCATAATTAAATTTAATTGAGATAACTAATTTACATTTTAAAATCTGTAAATATGTATATTCAAAAATTTATATATAATTAAGAAAACAGCGACTGCAGTTGCACATTGTAAAAAGGGCAAAGGACTTATTAAAGTGAATGGCAGACCATTACACTTCATTGAGCCACGTATATTGAGACTTAAAGTAATATTTATTTTAAAAATGCTGAAGTAAATATTTATTGTAGCTACAAGAGCCCATTTTATTACTTGGAAGTGAACGTTTTAAACATGTCGATATAAGAGTTAGAGTTAAAGGTGGTGGTCATGTATCTCAAGTGTATGGTACGTATGTTTACATAATGATAATAATCAGTGATTACAAGACCGTTTTGATTTTTATGATATTGCGTGTGTCCTGCAATTATGAGATTATTAATTAAATATAATATATTATATATAATTCATTGTATATTTTTTATTATAGCAATTCGTCAAGCCATTTCTAAATCATTAGTAGCATATTATCAAAAATGTAAGCCTAATATATAATTTTTATAATAACTTTATCATATCACCAGATGTTGATGAAGCTTCCAAAAAAGAAATTAAAGATATACTAGTAAGCTATGATAAGACACTATTAGTTGCAGATCCTAGAAGATGTGAACCCAAAAAATTTGGGGGTCCAGGAGCAAGAGCCAGATATCAAAAATCTTATCGTTAAAAATATCAATCTTTTTTTATTATTTTAAACTATTTATATGAATAAAATTAATAGCTATTATGATCTTGATTGCATGTGTTAAACAACTTAAAATTAGTAAGAACCATGAATGATTTTATGGACTAAAAAAACATTTAATATAATAAAAAAATGAATTAAAATAAAAGCAATTATATTCATGACTACCAATTTAAAACATTATTTGTTATAATATTTATTTCTTCCCAAAATATTGTTTTTTTTATACAATATATGCATCAAAATTAAGTATTTAGCAGGTATTTAGCAGTTACTAAAAATTTATATCACAAGTTATATACCATAGAAAAAATTAAGATATTAATCTCAATTTAAGTAATTGGAATTAGCTTTTTTTAGAAAAAAAGTTTTGACCATTTCATTTAAAAAAAATAGAATATTATATATTAAAAATGATAAACTATATGCTACTCCTGTTTTGATGCTTGATAAATACTTGCCTAATTTCCTGAAAAATACCCTTATCATGTATTATTATATTAATAAATTATACAGTTTTGATATTAATTTTTTTTAAATCATATTTACAAATTGGTAATTACCTTGATAATTTATTTTTAATTAGGAATAAAAACTAGGATATATTATTTCAATTGTGATTAATATTTTATTTTGATCCAAAATTTTAGGATATATGTCATTTGAACATAACCCTCTAAATGTATAGTATGCAATACTGATAGGTTATTGTTTACTCACTTTTATCAAATTAAATATTAAAAAGAAAAATAGGAAAAGCTTTATAGGGAAGAACAAAGGTAAATTTTTTATTTGGCAAAAAGTGTTGCCAAATACATAAATAAGAATAATTTAGACCTTGACTAAGTTGTGGAAACAAATTTTCTAAATCTAGCTGTATGAATAATTGAGAATAAAGATTTGCAAAGCCATGGGTCATCCAAAGAATTTAATGGGCTAGGTAGGCACTGTACTGGAGATCCTTAATGGTTTGGTTTTCAAAAATATTTAAACATCAAGTGAGTTGGTTAAAAATATTTTTGAAATGTAAAACAAGTGGTCAGGTTCTAATTTGTCCATTAATTATGGGATGGACAATTTATATTTAAAATATCAGGCATGGTCTTCAACTAGGGACCTGAACCGTTATTTATAACAGTTCAGTTATGTTTCAGTATGTAAAAAATTATAATGGTTATGTTTTGGTTATGGTTCTTAAGAAAAAATTTATTAAGATTTGTAGTGTTGTTAATCGACTAAGTATAGTCAACTTAGCCAAAAATTGGAGTCAAGTTTTTGGTCAAAAAAATCGACCCAAAACCAGGGATCCAAATCGAACCGTTAAACCACTAAAAACCGGTATTTATTATCGAACCTAAACTGCTAAAAAAATTCCAGCCGAACCTGAACGGAACTGCTAAAATGCCTCTGAACCGGTTCGAATCTCATGATTTTATGCATATAAAATAATATGTAAGTTATTAGATTTCAATTGTATTCGAATTATTTTATAGATTATCATCAATCACATTTCATTGATGTGTCGGTCATTATTTTTATAAACTTTAGTATTTTATCATTACAACATTTTTTAAATGTTTTAAGCTTATAAATTATAATGCTTAGAGAAAAATTAAATCCAAAATATTATAAATGACATCAAATCTGATATCATATTGGCAGTGTCGGCTACCCAAGTTGGTGTGGAAAGATATTTCAACAATTAAATTTATGCTATCCTTATAGATGTAATTTGAGTGAGCCAAATTTTGAAAATATTAATTGTGTGGCTTAATAAAAAATTTAAGTAAAAAAAGGAAAATATTGTTCATATTAAAATTAATCATTAATATATATTTTTATATATATAAATTAAATATTATTTTATATGTGCAATTAATAAAAATGAAGGTTTTATATATGTTTTTTAAATTAATGATAAAATATTTTCCCTATACATAATTTGAATGTAGGTTTGATTACAAAAGTGTTCAAACCGGTTTTTATAGGTTCGAACTGAACCGATATTTTGATTTTTTACGAACCTGAACCTTGAACCATTATTTTTATCTGAACCCGAACCGATATTCGTTTCGGTTTGGATCCCTGTCCAAAACTGACTTGAGTTATGAACTCAGGTCTATCAACTTGAGTTGACTAGATGACAAATAGTTCTATGAACTTAGTCCACTAGAGGACACTATGAACTTGAGTCGTCGACTAGAGAACGAATAGTACTATAAACTTAGTCGACTAGAGGACGAATAGTTATATTAACTTAGTCGACTCGAGGACGAATAGTTATATTAACTTGAGTCGTCGACTAGAGGACAAATAGTTCCATGAACTTGAGTCGTCGACTAGAGGACGAATAGTTCCATGAATTTGAGTCGTTAACTAGAGGACGAATAGTTCCATGAACTTGAGTACTAAAGGACAAAGATTTTAAATTAGTTATTATTAATAAAACATTTGTTTTTTATTTTTAACTTTAAATTTCCAACTTGAGTCGTTATACGAAATTATAATATACTCGAGTCGATTATAGGGCGAATAGTTCTATGAACTTGAGTCGTCTACCAGAAGATGAAGATTTGAAATTAGTTATTATTAATTAATAAAACATTTGTTCTGTTTTTTTTATTTTTTACTTTAGACTTCCAACTTGAGTCGTGAACACTAGTTATACACTTATGTCGACTAGAGAACGAATAAATTATTGGGAATGAGGAAGATAGTGATTTAAAACAATTTAATATAATATAGCGATACACTTTATACCAACAAGATGTTTATTATAAAAATCGCGAAGGGGGGGGGGTGTTACTGCTTAAAACCTATTCATACTGTGATGTATATTGCCGACTTTTTTAGATGAACCAGAGCTCTATTATGTCAAGACAAACATTGGTTTTAATCAGGGATGTGAACCCGGACCCTGAACCCTCCTGGACCCTCGTATTTTGGCTGAACCCAGACCCTTTTAAAAAGTGGAGGGACCAAGGGTTCAGGGTGTTAAATTAATTTTTTAAAAAATAATATAAATTTTTTATTAATTTTTAAAAAATAATGTAAAATTTTTATAATTTTGTTAATTTTTTTCGTGGAATCTCCCTAAAAAATAGTCACTTTAAAACTATAATTGATAAAGCAAGGGATGTTGTAAAATATTTAAGAACTCCCACAATTGTTAGAATATTAAAATCCATGAAAAGGCAAATGGCAATTTTAGATTGCACAACACGTTGGTCCTCTATATGTATAATGCTAGAGCGATTATTAAGTTTGAAAGATTTCTGTAATGATTTAATCATAGGAGCATGTGAAATCATTTTGTCAGAAGATGATTGGAATCAAGTAAAAGAGCTTACTAGTGTGCTGGTTCCTTTAAAAATAACAACATTAAGAGTGCAAGCAGAACAATTATGTTTATCGGATTTTTATGGTATATGGTTAAGATGTCGATTAGAGTTAGGGAGATTAACAAGTTATTTTTCAAAGGAAGTATTAGAAAATAAGAGAGCAACAATATTTACAAAATAGTGTTGTATATGCTTCGATATATTTAGACCCGCGATATCAGGTTTTATTAAGTAGTGAGCAAAAACAAATAGTTATAGACCATCTTGAAGATTTATGGCATACCCAAAACTATTATTTACAATATATAGGAGGTTACAACAATATCTACTGGTTGTAGCGATAACAATGATAATGATAACGACAGTGATGATCTGGAAATTTTACTATTAGATAGAGAAAAAAAATTAAATTATCATCTGATAGAAAGGAGCAAAAAATATCTATTGTATCTTTAATAGAAAAGTTCTCGGAAGTTAGAATAAATAGAGATGCAAACATTTTAAAATTCTGGGAGGAAAATTCTTCAATATATCCAGAATTATATACCTTGTCTAGAATCGTCATGGCTGTACCGACGACACAAGTACAATAATTTATGTATTATAAAAATGACTATCTATTTTAGGTAAGCGTAGAACGTGGATTTTCATCGTTGAAATATATTTTGTCTAATTTACGTGGAAATCTTAGAAGATATCATGATTGTGCGATTGAATAAAATATTTAAAATAGAAATTATCTCATTTCGAATTATAAATGTGTATATATTGAAGTATAATAAAAAATGAATGAAAAAAAGTCTTATTTTGAGTCATTATTTTTATGTTTCCTCTGAACCTGGACCCGGGTCCTTTTTAAATTTATTACCGGACCCGGACCCTTTTTTTTTGTCGAAGGGTTCACATCCCTGGTTTTAATGTAAACCTTTTTTTATCGTGATAATTTTTTATCCCACTAAAATAATTTATGCCTGAATTTTTTTTTTCAATAATTAATATAATTTGAATTTATTTTTTGTTTCTTCGAAACACTCCCTTTTTCCTCTTTAATAATATATTATTTGTTTTCATAGTACTTTTAAAATAAATAAGATTTGTATTTTTTATTTTTATTTAGTTATAATAATAAAAAAATGTAACATATTATTGTTTTATTTATAAAAATCTAATTAATAAAAAATTCATTCGTGTATGTCTTATTTATGTGAGTGAATGGTAATTCTATATTTAATTTTCTCGTAAAAATTACGCGAGACATAATTTTTGATATTTGAGAATTTTCAAAGCTGAGGTAATTTTAAAATAAATTCATTGTTAAATTTTATTTTAACTATACATAAAAATTATTTATTAAAATAGAGAAACATAAATTAAAATGTTTTTGATCTTTGATTTTAAATTTGTAAAACCTTAAATAAAATCTAATAAAAAGAAACCTATAATCTTATATTAAATAAATTATTACTAAATATCTTCAAAATAATATATAAATTACACAATATTTATTTATATTTTAAAACTATAATACAAATAATAAGATTTATAATAGAATCAATAAGATACAAATGTATATATATAGATAATGATTTCATATTGAAACATCCCAATTATTTAAGCACATACAATGTTTAAATGTTGGTGACATCCTCGCTTGGTAAAAAAATCAACGGCCTTGCTGAATGCTCTTTCGCTTGGAACGCTGGACGTTTG